ACATATCAATGAAACACACAGCATAATTTTAATAAACTTATTAATCTTCCCTAGCTTCTCATATGAAATCAATAGACTATTCAGATATTGATATGCCAATAACAAAATGTAGAATAACAACAGTGCAGCATTACCACAGAATAAGGCACACAGAAGGGCACCCTGGCCGCCATCTTCCTAGCCAGTCGATTACATTTCCTGGCCAATAAACGCGGTGTATTGGCTGAAGGCCCCGCCTTCTGGCCAGTCAACTGCATATTTTGCACAGAAAAATGGCGACACGTTGCACCGCTGAGTGTCCCTTCTGTTACTGATCTTTATTCTGTTGCATTACCATATAAGGTCATGACAAGCCGTTGCCTATAATATTTAAAATAACACACTAATCCATGATTTACGGTAATTAAACAAGTTAAAATAAATCACTACCAGTATCTTACAACAATTCAAAACCATGGCAAGTGTTCTTTAGCCGCGTTCACACCAGCGGCCCAGGCCTGGCCTTGACCTGGCCTGGGCCAATTGTGACGCATTCACACTGGCTTGACGCCCAACTCCAGGCCAAAGCAATCAGGCGTCAATATAAACGTCCTTGTATTCCACTAAAGTATTTAATTTCGCGCTTTGAATGTTTTTCCCTCCAATTGTATGACAATCATCTGACCAGTTTTTATCGTGGGCAGATATTGCGATGGTAACGGGGCCTCGCCCAGGCCAGGCCCAGGAAAAACCCGTTCACACCAGTGATGATCGAGGCCCAGGCCAGGCCAAGGCCAGGTCCAGGCCACCTACATTTGCTGGCCTGGATTTCTTGACTTAGGCCAGGCCTAGGCCAGGCTCAGGCCAGGTAAAACCCGTTCACACCTAGACCCAGGCCAGGTCCAGGCCAGGCCTGGGCCGCTAGTGTGAACGCGGCTTTTGAAGAACTAAAGTCGTAATAAGATTAAACAACGGCATAATTGATGTTTGACGGCAGTAATGTCTATTTATAAATGTCGAACGGAGTACTGGATCCAAATGTACTGATTTTCGTCCAAAAGTCGCCGGTGTTCCCAGAGCCTCAGCAACAGTCCTTCCACTTTGAAGGAAATTTCCTTTTCGAGGGAAATTTTGACAAAATGAAGGAAACGTAAAGGAAGTGCAATTCTGAAGGAAATTTGAAGGAAATAATATTTATTACTTAAATATGTATTATAATTATATTAATAACAAAAGTTATTACTAATAATAGTGTTTACAAATATTTTTTAAAAACATTAAGAAGTTATGAGTTACGACACCACCAACGCGTTTAATTATAGGCTTTTATGCATAATTTATACTGCGTATAACTTCCTGTAGCCTGTGCGCGGGTTTCTCCTCTTTATTTTAGAGGGTGACATGGACACGTGGTTTAGATATTTCGACAATAACTTTTCTATATATACAGATATGGCATATCTAAGTATAACCATGTAAACAAGAGCAAGTTGATGCTCTTTTAATGTTCATAATATATTGTTTGATTGATTTTCTGTTTGCAAAATTTGAAGGAAATTTTATTCGTTTGAAGGAAATTTCATTTTGTAATTTCATAAGGAAATTTTATTATTTTTTGAACGGAAGTTTTGATTAAAAAAAGGAAATTAAAACTTTTCGAAGGAAATATTGTTTTCTTAAAGTGGAAGGACTGCTCAGCAAGCCTCCACAGAGGATGGCGGGCTCTGGTTTCGAGATTGGGTAAGAGAGCGAACGTTTGGGAGTTAGCGAATGGCCTCTGCGAATGTCCGTTTGTTGTTTTGAAAGCCGACCAATGACAATGCAGCGTGTAATTCGAATTTGAAGGCCATGAATTCAGATCGGTGACGAACCGCGGAAAATTAGACATTTGTAAGTTTCAATTGGCATTTTCTGCAGGAAGATTATTGTTCATGATCAATTCTGTTAAAGAAAAGTATATTATGTAAAAATTATCGCTCTTCCGATGTAACGTAATTTGGCGAGGATGCGACAGCTGAAGTTGGCGTTATTCGATTGATTTCTGTCAGCGTTTGTCCCAATTAGTCCAATTAACGGTCAAAGTGACCAGCCTTGTATTATTTCTTGCTGTTAATCCTCATGTCAACCCCAACTATGGCCGTTAACCTCTTGTCAACGCCAATCTTGGCCGGTTCTCGTTAAAATCTTTCAAGAAACACATGTAAGTGCTTTTCATTATACTATTATATAAAGATATAACGTAATAAATTAATAACACAGGATTTTCTAATGATTTTCAATATACTATTTATATAAAGATATAACGTAATTAATAACACAGGGTAAGATTGGGCCGCCTGTGAAATAACACAACAATCCATGATTTACCGTAATTAAGCCTGCTTGCGTCATGGGAAGGTCACGATTTCGAGAGGGCCTTGACGTCATCGAAATTTTTTGGCCACGCCCCTACTGGAAAGCGTCGCTATTAAAGAAGGCAGTTTATTCGTGCAACGTTGGTGTGGACAACAAACCTTGTCGTTAAAAAATGCTTCCTTCCACGTCTTAGAGTCGCCATTTTAAATTACAAGTTTCACGTCGCTTTTTTATAGCCTGTTTATATTCAAGATTATGTATAAATTAATTTTCTGACGTGACGCCGGCGCCATTTTTTTACAAGATTCCGCAGGCCCTCTCCAGATTGTGTGTGACCTTCCCATGACGCAACGAGGGCCTGCGGAGGAGGCAGCCTGCGAGCAGGCTACATGAGACTGGTACGAAAATCACAAAATTTTCAATTTATTCCCCTTGCCAGGCAATTTTCTTTTTTAAATGGCTTTTGTTAGCATGTGTTGTTCAAATGTCAAGGTTTGATTACTGCAGTACTGTGTGGGACAGTACTGATTGATATGACGCCAGCCGATCAACTCCAAAAGTTGCAAAATCGTGCAGCTCGCATCATTACTGGAGCTCCATACAGAACCGTTCACACACTGTTAATTTGAAGGTGTTAAAATAACACCAAAAATGGTGTCAAATAAAAAGGTACAAAATAACACCTTTTTGGGTGCTATTTTAACACCACTTTGTAGGGTGTCAAATTAGCACCTGCAAAGGTGTTAAAATAACTGCATTTTTAGTGTCATAATAGCACCCTTTTCGGTGTTGTTTTAGCACTCTAACCTTAGTGTTAAAATAACACTCAATTTTAGTGTTATTTTAGTATTACCGAATATTAAAAATGTATACACACCAAACAATTAATAAAATAATCTGTTGAAAAATTTATTTACATTATACTTTACAGCATTACTTATCTATGTCATATATGAAGTTTATAGTAAATTCAGAGTAATTGCACCTAAGGTTTACACTATATAGAAACATTCACAGAAATAGACCATGATTGTGACGCCATAACTCTCCTCGTACTACACTCTAGTCATTAAAGATAAGGACAATACCGTAAACTTCCAACTATAAGCCCTGGGCTTACATTCTTTCGTAAGCGATTTTTGATGGGCTTATGTAGGGGGGGGGGACTTATATACAGGGGGCGTATACATGGACAATCTTTTGTGTTAGTTTAATAATAGTAATAAACAGGTATAGTAGTAGTGATAAACAAGTGTTAAACAAGCATAGTAATAATAATGATAAATAGTTGCATTAGTGATAAACAAGTGGGCTTATTTATATTTGGGTGGGCTTATATTCAGGGGGGGCTTATGTTTGGAAGGAGGTGAGCGTTAGTACATCTGGTGGGCTTATACGTGGGGGGGGGACTTATACATGGGGGGCTTATATTTGGAGATTTACGGTATATCCTGCATGTACAATACATGCATTACATTAATGATCAATATAATATCATCATTATCATAAATTGTGCATTATCATAAACTGCAGGTTGTTAGCTACATTTCACAATTTGAATTTTTCACAAACATTCCCTCTGCAATCAATGAAATCAAACTTATCTCTTCCAGAGGTCCAGTACCCATAGACAAGGGGTTGAGATCCTGATAAAAGGGATTGAGCATTCTCTACACAAAAATATTTAAACATAGAATAAATTTCTGTATGTACAGTATGCATACACATATATAGATTAAGTTCTTTCAATTAAGTATCTTAATCTATGTTAATTGCTTAATCCATGTCCATAATATAAACACACAGATACTAAACAATTGTTTCTTCAAAACCTGTAATCACTGTAATCACTGTAATCAATCATACAGCAAAGTAGACTATTCACTAGCTACAGTTGCAAACAGTAGATTGTTTAACTACCTGAAAAAATAAGAATTTCTTTGAATGATTTTCTTATTTTTCAATCAGTAATTAAACAACCTACTTTTGAAAATACTTCTCACAATTACATACTTTGATTCAGTTGGATCATTTCAATGCAGTTTATATCCGTCACAATCCAAATGAAAGTTTACGTCACTGGTGAAGATAATTTGTAAGCAATAGAATCTTTGCTGAATGGTACTCTAACCCACTAAGCGGGAGCCCTCTCCCCTTGACAAGTAAAATCGTCTGGTGTTCGACAAAGTAAAATAATAAAGTAGGGTGCAATTTATGTGGCATAGTTGACATGAATGAGGTAACTAGGCACATGGGCAGATATGACAGTTAACCCATTAAGCACCAGCTCTCTCCCCTGGGATCAGACAGAGTTAAATAGTCTGGCATTAAATAAAGTAAAATAATAAAGTAGGGCATATCAGGGCATAATGCAACTCAATTTGTAATTTTCTGTGGTGAGTCGGCTACAAAATGAAAATGGGTATTATTTTACATTCAAAGTTTATTTGTAGATACTAGTGTAATTCATTGTCAATTAATAATTTAACGTCAATTATTGATCATTTATTGTCATTAATTGTCAAATTGCCACAAGATAACAGAGATAAGCTCACATAAAAGCCACCCACTTATAATGTCGATTCGATGTTGTTGTGGCATCATGAATATGGACATGGCCCCTTAAACAGTTTCTTTATGCATAAAATTGTGAGCCTGGAAATTCTATTTGTGTTTACATTCATGCCGGTCTGAATTCATGCCAGTCTAAATTCAATCGGCTTGATCCAGCAGGCAGAATGACTTGAGACTGGTCTGTCGAGTTATTTTCATTCCGGTCGCTTGTGAACTAAATCTATTATAGATCATACTATGAGCAAAACAAAATGGTCCCGGTTTGACTTTGTTGTGGTTTCATGTAAACAGGGCCTAGTACAAAGCCATAGGCCTGTTTCATACACCGTACTTCACATGTACCGAATACATTAAAAACAATAGATAATGAGGCATTTCAGCTCATTACCTATTGTCTTTAATGTATTCGGCACATGTGAAGTACGACGTATGAAACGGGCCATAGAACTTGCTTTGGAGATTATATCAATATTAATAGCTATTGAGTCAACATTGATATCCTCTCAATAGATCAATACATTAACAAATATAAATGTTTATATTGTTAACTTTAATGTATTGATCACTATTGAAAGGGT